TTTTCCAATCCACTTTGAAAGGTAGATTTATCTAGTTTTACTTTTGAATGTTGAAGAAGAGAGAAACTCAACACATCCATTCTTATCTCAGGTTTACATGTATCACGTCTAGCTGGGTAAGAAAGAAAAGCATTTGCTTATTCCCCATGCCCTTCTTGAACGGTAGCATGAATAAATGCTTCAATCACAGCTGCAGAGAGCCTTCACCAAACTGGCATGCCGGTCCTTGCTCCTGTGCGTTGAGACCTTGAGGCCCACACTGTGGCCTTTGAGCATGCTATGTCCCTACTAAGCCCCTTTGGCGGGAGCCCACACTAAATGGTTACCAGATCTGCACTAGACTTCCAGTATGGTGGCATTAAAAGCAAATGATCATCACAGACTGTCTCTTTGAAGGAGGCTCACACACATACAGGCTCTTCTCCAACTCAGGAATCTAGTGCAGACCAGCAGAACTGATACTGTAGCAGCAGCTGCCCACACAGTTCATCTGAGCAATGCATAATGTTTCTCTACCTACCTGATCAGAGGCTAACTAATTGCTCTCACCCTCGCCTCTCCCCTATTTCTGCCTTGAATTTTCTCTTCTGAGATAGGACTTCCAGACCCAGCATCCATTCCCTGTTCCATAAAGGTACACCCTGGGCATTCTCACTGGAAACCACAGTAGTCACATTTCAGTCTTCATCCGAGGGGAACCTCGTGTGGCATATGGACAGGTTTTTGTCTTTGTGAAATGATCTCCTCCCTGGTGTAAATTTCTCCTGCTCTTCCTGCTGCTTTGTATACAGACATCCAAATCAAATAACAGTTCCCCCCCCAAAAAAAAGAAGAACATCAAATAAATAAGCCCAGCTTGTGTAATTAGCAGCAACAGCTCTGAGATGCTACTCATCCAAAATAGGTCATTATCCATGGATGAAATAAAATGTGTTGATGTGTGAAGATGTAAAGCTCAGGACTGTTCACTATCATCCTGCTTAGCTGAATTGATAGTATTATTATATGATATCATAGTAGGGTTAGAGATATTTCATGCACACTTGATAGTGCTCTGAGAGGTCTATAAGTATGCTTTCTTTTCTTTTCTTTTCTTTTGTCAGTCGTGGGGCTTTTGAACTCTGGGCCTGGGCGATGTCCCTCAGCTCTTCATCTCAAGGCTAGCGCTCTACCACTTGAGCCACAGTGCCACTTCCGGCCTTTGCTGTTTATGTGGTGCCAAGGAATCGAACCCAGGGCGTCATTTATGTGAGGCTAACACTCTACCACGTAGCCACCTTCCCAGCCCTCTTTTCTTTTCTTTTTGCTTCTTTGGTGCAGGTCCTGGGGCTTGTCCCTGGGCTTTTTTGTTCAAGGCAAGTGCTCTACCACTTGAGCCAGATCCCTGCTTCCAGCTTTTTGGTGATTAACTGGAGATAAGAGTCTCAGGGACTTTCCTACCTGGACTGGCTTCAAACTGGGATCCTCAGCTCTCAGGCTCCTGAGTAGGTAGGATTGTAGGCATGAACCACCACTGCCAAGCTAGCTTACTTATTTTTCATCATTAATGTGACTGTGTCCTTAATGGTCTCTCCCTATATTACTTTTTAAGTATTCTGATTCCATTGAAGACATTTATGCAACAATGTATCTTTTGTGTCATGGCCAGTTACCTATCTGACCTGTTAGATACTAGATTCTCTGAAAAGATAAAGGATTATGTTTTTATTTACCTTGATGAACCTTATAGAATCTTGTATGTAGAAACTTTTCAAGTAGTTACGTGGAATTGTTAGACAGCTTCTCAAGCATAATCAAGAGGTAAAAATTCTTTTACAGTAGCAAATTTCCTGTTAACTACGTGATTTTCACTTAAAATTGCAGCATTCCTTTTTTTGACTAGCCATATTATATTGCAGATTTTTTTAATAACTCACAAGATATAAATCAGAGCCAGATGTAGAAATTGTATGGCCTTACTTGTGATGATTTTTCGCGTTTATATAACAACTGAGTTACATAATCACAGATTCCACAGCAATATTTTCTCCTAGTTACAATATTTCCCCAGCTATCTTGGCAAATAAATAAGATGTGCACATCTGAGCAGCAATGAATAATAAGAGAGCACATTAACATCAAACACAACTTGTAAAAGAATCGAAGTTTTTTTTTCCCAAGGAACTGAAACTGACTGTTCTTTTCACCGCATTGAAAAGATGCCATTTATTTCTGACTATGATTAATGGGTCTTTTAGGTGGCCAACTTTCCCTGACATTTAACAAAGATTGCATGCTTGGCTTTTTGTCTTATTTCAGCCCTAGAGTCATTTGTAACTGAGCAATCAGATAATGAAATGCTGCCTTTTGAAGTATGGTTTTGTTTTATTAGTGTAAATCCTTCACTCTGGTGCTGGAAGTGGGAACAAATATAAATTTCATCAGAAGGCTGTCTCTCTACATCCTGTGAACGCCGTGTCAGAAGGAGAATCACAACATGAATGCCTTGTCCTGCCAGCCACATGATGTCAAAAAAATATCAGCAATATCTAAAGAAATGAACCAAACCAGGGATTGATCCCAGGGAGCAGGAAGATTATTTTGATATGCGTGGCTCATGGTTATCATTTTTATAGCAAAAAAAAGTCTTAGAATTACTTTTAGTGTGGTGATAAATAAAAGTAGAAAAAGGAAAAGTAAAGGGACCAACTGTCATTTTTCAAAGCGGTCCCTTCAAATCCAGCCATGCGTTGCTAGGTGTGATCAGAGAGCAAATCCCAAGGAAGTAATAAATGAGATATGAACACATGCATTAAGGAAAGTGTGTTTGTTTGTTTGTTTCTCCCATCCTGGGTTTCCAGGTTTTTTTTTTATATCAAATGTTTTATTGTAATTAAGTATTGTGAAATAGTGATATTTAAAGTCACAAACACATTCTAACCTTCATGGGGCAAATTGTCTTTATCGTGGTCTATAAGGTTTGTGAATTCTATGAGCTTTGACAATACAGTTATTTCTTCCATATCAGGTGACATGTACATTCCTTTCTTTTTGCTTAGTGTCAGCTGTTCCCTCTTTCCAGCTCAGGTTTTAAGGAGGTCTAAGTAAGATTTGAAAAGATAATCACTGGCATGCCTTACTTGAAGGAGACTAAGTGAAGCAATAGGTATACCAGAATCATTACATAGTAATTAACACCTTCTCTCACTTCCTCTTTAGAGAATATATCTGTTCAGAAATAAATGAATCCTAACTGCCACAGTGTTTCTCTTTTTGGCTGGCTATCAAGTACTTTACATTTCAAATATGAGCCCATCATTAGTTTTGTCAGTTGACATTACCTGAACATCATATTGGAAACTCACATGTAAAAAACACATCTCAATAAACCAACCTCCATGATCTGAGACTCACACACGATACAGAAAGTCAAAAAGGCTTTCTTTTTATCTTGCAAGCAATGAGTATTCCTCTCAGATCTTCACTTCTAATCTGCAAGGCTCAATTCTCACTTCAGAAAGTTAAGAAAGAGAAGCAATGGATGCATCTACAGCATGAACTCAAAGAAGCACTAGACTGCCTTGAAGAGGACTAGGATATTTTTATTTATGTTAAGCCATAAACTGAAAAACAATCACTGGCTAGTAGACTCGGATTCTAACCACTCCTTATATGAAGTCTATTTATAGATTAGAGTACTCTCCCCCCCCCCACTGCCCTTGGTCTCTTATATGATTATTCAAACAGAGAACTAGAGTAAGCAGGAAGTTACTATGACACTGTTGGCCTTGGCATGAAGATACACACAGTGCTGAGATCACAGACTCACGGCTCCTTCATAACCCAGGTTCTTGGACTGGATGAGTCACCTTCCACCAAGTCCAGCAAAGTTAAAGAACATTCCCTCCTCCCACTCCCGGCTCCAGCAACCTCTCCACCTTTACCATCTAATTCTAGAGGCTCTGGTATTTTCTTTGCCCCATACAGTAAAGTTTAACCAAACCTTTCCTTAAGGGCACCACAGTCCCTCAATTGGTAGTATCAGAGGGAGAAGAAGAGGGAGAAGAGAGAGAAGGACAGGGGGAGAGAGAGAGAGAGAATGTACCAGGGTTGGACTCAGGGTCTGGACATTATCTCTGAGCTTTTCTGCACAAGGCTAGTATGCTCTACCACTTGATCCATAGCTCCACTTTTGACTTTTTGGTAGTTAATTGGAGATAAGAGCCTCATGGGCTTTCCTGCCCAGGCTGGCTTTAAATCTCAAGCCTCAGATCTCAGGCTTTTGAGCAGCTAGGACTACAGGTGTGATCCACGAGGGCTCAGCTATCAATACGACTAAAACTAAGTTACCTTTTTATTTAAATGGCTGTCTCTATGACCAGGCTATTGTCTCTCACTTAGTGATTACCAGCTCACTACCAACATCTATCATCCTGCAAGGAAAAGGAAGAGCTTAATAGCACTTCTGCAGAACACATCTGTCCACATTATCAAATGAGACCGCAAGGATAATGGCCTCCAATAAATACCATTGTGCTCTTTCTTTGACATCTTCTCTTCCATAGTTGAAGCCAAAAAATGTTGTTACCACTTCAAGGAGAAGATCAAAGCAGTTATTCAAAAATGAATTCTGACGACAGGGTAGAATAACAAAAAGGGTTTATGGAATCGATGTTAACTACAGGTGGTGGTAGATTTGGGTTTTAGTTTATCTCATCAAATAATAATGGTAATAATGTCCAGAGCAATGGAATGCTCTCCGGTGGAGTGATTTTAGAGAGCTTACCCAAGGTAGGGTGATGCTGCTTCATTCAGTCAATAGCTTAAGAGATTATGTTGCTCTCAGTAAAGAAAGCCAGAGAAAGTGATTCTGAAATAATCACTCCCCTTTTCGAGTGTCTAAGCAATCAGAGTGTATTTTCAAGCCTAAAAAATATTGATGTGGTCTCAGTGCTTGCATTGAGTCACTACAGAGGAAGAAAAGCATGTTTTAATAGCTCTCCTTCCTCCCCTCCCCCCAGGGTACTCCATACTTCAAGCTATTATGGAAAAAGCAGGACAAAATGGTTGGCATGTCAGCGCTATATGTGTGGAAAATTTTAATGATGTCAGCTATCGACAGCTTCTAGAAGAACTTGACAGAAGACAAGAGAAGAAATTTGTGATAGACTGTGAGATAGAAAGACTTCAAAACATATTAGAACAGGTAAGTCCTAGATTTCTATCTTGCAAGGAAGTCCTGGATTTCTCTCTCCATGTTGCTTCTATGCCCAGTTTGTCTTTGTGAATGTCCATCTCCCAACTTTTTAGTTTGTGAATATGAGGGAGGCTTGGGAGTGTTCCATGATTTAGCTTCAGGACCAAATCATAATTCTTCATAACCAAAGGCCACTTTGGTTCTGCGGACCCAGAGAATTTGAGAGTGTTGCCTGTCCTACAATATGAAGAGCTGATTAATGGGCAGGTCGTTGGTGAGTCATGAAGACCTTTTAGCTTTCTGTTTTCAGAAATGCTAATTTTGAACATTAATGCCATCAGGATAGCAGAATTTTTAAAAAAAAATGTGTGCTGTTTAGAATCCTTTAGAGAATTAGCTGCAGGAGAAATGGCAATGTAAATTAGCAAAGCCATGGAATAAAAGAGAATTATGTGGAATACTGTGGGTAGTTTACTTCTTTCCTGGTAGAGGTGGTAAGTATATTATCCAACCACCAATAAAGATGATTTTCAACTCTCCTTGCAAAGGAAGATTCTTTTCATAAAGCTTCCAATAAATAGTTCTTGATTTGATTTGAAGTAGGCAGGAAAAGATAAAAGTGAGCTTGTCATTGTATTAAATGATGATAGGAAAATATCACCCTGTAATGGATAACATTTGCCTTTGTCCTAACCCCGCAGATTACGATAAAGCAGGGAGGCGATCTTCAGCCAAAATTGTAGTGAATGTATGCCATCTAGTGGCTATATATGTGCTTGCTTCTTATATTCCCCTACCCTGCTCTGGGTTGTCTAGACAATAGAGTTGACGTGATTTAAGGTTAGTAACATCACATCGTTTCACTAGGTAAAAACACGATCACATTTGTAGTAGTAAATCCACTAATTTGGAGGCTGATTTCTAAGAGTCTCTGCAGTACTCAGTTATAAAATTAAATCCAAAATATGTTTCAGAAATTCCTCTTCCATACCTTACACCTCTATAGGAGAACTGATGGAAAGCTATCGTGACAATAACATATATGGCAACTCCTCAGTACACTTACTTAAAAATAATAAAAATATTCAAAAAATGTATACTGCCTGTCCAAGGCATAAACCTAGACTCTAAGAGAAGCTGACCATTTACCTCTTATTCAATCTTCTTAGAAGAAAAAGCCAAAACTCAAAACACTTCACTGAAGCAATAGGGACGTGCTGTTTTGAGATTAGTTATAAACCTATCCATCACTCAAGTTTATTCCAGAGAGAGTCTAGAGAGTCATGAAGGTGGTAGTTATTCAAGATAGATGAAGACATTAACGAACCCTGGGAGAATCTCATGAAGAACCTTCTTCCTGACTTTCTTAAGCAGTATAGTCTCTCCAGCACCCATTCCCTCTTCCTCCCCCTGTCACCCTTGTGTTGAACACTAGAGTTGTTTGACTTGAACAATTGAAGCTTTATAAATAGCTCGGGATGCCTCCCACTGAGCAGCCAGTTCTACCCACTGCCTGGATTGCCAAATTCCTGTCCGAGGCTGAGGAAGCTCAGAAATCCTCTCCACTTAGCACCTGTGCTTACAAGAGCAAATCTAGAGGAGGCAATTGAGTGCCCAAACCACACTGACCCATTTCAGAAGCTTATCTGATTTCTAAGAAGAAAATGAGCACACTGCAGTGTTTTGGATCAACTCTGAATAAGCCTTAAATGAGCTCCTGCTAAGGAAACTGGACATTGTGTAGGGGAGGTTTTGGTTTTGGTTTTGTCCTTTTGAAAAATTTAGAAAACTTGAGTGTCTACGTTTCTTAAGGCTTTTGACTGAATTCTAAAAGGTGGCTTTTTACAAAAAAGAAAAGAAAATGGCTGCATAGAAAAAAGAATAATAGACCCTTGTCCTTTTAAGCATTTCTCAGGTAGATATCGCAAAAATGGCAACGGTCCATAGTATTACAGGAAACCAGTGTGCTTTTAATTGTCTATTCCCCCTACTCAAGAAAAGCTTTGCTTCAAACATGATTGTCTCTTGTTATCTGTATTTCAATTCCTCATAGCTCTAATCGAAATCATTTCTCAGGTTTATTCTTGATTCAATCAAACACAAGAGCTAACTCCAACTTTGTCTTAAACTTAGACATGACTATGTTTCAACATATCCCTGTGTTTCAAAATTCCTTAGTAAACAATGCAGAGCAATTTCAGAGAATCAACCAAAGCAATTTTTTTAAGTCCTTACCAGAAGCTGGGAACAGAGAGGGAGATGGGAGAGATTGGCTCATAGACACAAAGTCACAGATAAAAGACAGAAGGTCCTGGTGTTCTTCTAGCCCACAGGAGGGTGATGATAAGTTAACAATATTGGGTTTTATGTTTCAAAGTAGAAGAGAAGTTTTAATTTCCTCATTCCAAAAGAAATGATAAGTTTTTGAGAGAATGACTAACTTAAATATCTGAAGTTAATATAACATGTGCACCTACCAAAACAATCACCCTTCACTTAAAATGTACAGTTCTGTCAATAAAAAAACATTGTTTTAACGAAGTTTCCAAAGTAAATAACGTGATTGGGGGGAAAAAGCACCTTTGAAACAGGAGGCCTCTCTCCAAACAATGCAAATCAATGCAATGAATATGAAGAGATTCCTAATAAAATTTCTAGAAGCACACTCCATATTGTGGTAGCATGCTGTCAGTAATTACTTCCTTGACATTTTAATTTGCATCAGTTTGCAAATTGCTAAAACATAATGGAAATAGCCCACACTGTATTCTTTCAAAATATATTAATGGACAGCTATGGTTAGAGGAGCATTTCATCTTCTGTATGCTTTCCAATTCTTATGCCATGAACTAATTAGTTCCCATAAATATGTTACTATTTAAAACTGTAAATAGCCATATACTCATTCAAACATTTCAAAACATGAACATCGGAATGTTAAATTAAGTTTAGGTTTGAGGATGGATGACTCTGGCTGAATCCTTGTATGTTGAGCTATAGTTGAACTTAGTATAAGTAGCCCAGTTATTAGTCATAGCCAATCTCAAGTAGCCCGGCCAATAAGGTAAAAACAACAGACTAGGGAAGAAACTCCTTAAATCACTTCATTTCCACTTCCTGTACTTCTGAAGACTAACTGATCTTTAAAAAAAAAAAAGTAAATTAAGATATATAAATTTTTCATAATTTTGCTTTGGGGGCAAGAATATTTAAAGATGTAACCTTAGACATTTTGGTTTTCTACTCTAAATGAAATAACAGAGAAATGGAAGAATTTATATAAAATAACACTCACCATACTAGACTTAAAACTACAAAGTTAGCTTTAGCATTATCTGATTTATGTCAACTCCAATCAAACAAGCTCTCTTTTTAGCTCTCCAAATGGGTAAAATGATCCTTTAATCTACAGAAAATAAGGAAACTCTAAAAAGAAACTTGGAAGTTTTTTTACATGTTTCCCGAATCTATGGTTTTCATTAGCATCTCCAGTTTTACTCAAACTAATATTATGAGTTTAGCTAAAAGATATTCTAAATTCCACTTTGGACACTAGCTTCATTCTCCTCACCTAATTTTTCCCCTTTAAGTAAACAAGGTTATTTTGAACAATAGCTATTATAGCTGTGATCAAATGAAGTGTTTTCATAGCAAAACAAGTGGTTTCTAGGGAGAACATTCTGTATATTTTATTTTTCACATATCTATTATTTTAAGTCCTGAACTCAATACTTGCAGTCCACAGGAAGTCTACCTAAGGTCTAATCAATTGAATAGTCAAGTATCAGACTTGAAACTCATGTTTAGCCAAGTAGCAAAAGTAGCAATAACAAACTTGACCTTTTTTTTTTTTGGTCAGTTGTGAGGCTTGAACTCTGGGCCTGGGGGCTGTCCCTGAGCTCTTCAACTCAAGGCTAGTGCTCTACCACTTTAAGTCACAGCTCCACTTCCGGTTTTCTTTTTTTTTTTTAATTGTGAAAATACCGTACAGAAGGGTTATAATTACACTGGCAAGGTATTGAGTACACTTCTTATCAAGCATTGTTGCCTCCTCCTTTGTTTCCAGTTTTCCGATGGTTAGTTGGAGATAAGAATCTCAGGGATGTGGACAGAAGGGAACCTTACTGCATTGTTGGTAGGAGTGTAAACTTGTTCAACCACTTTGGAAAGTAGTATGGAGGTTCCTCAAGAGATTTCACATAGAGCTCCCCTATGACCCAGCAATCCCACTTTTGGGCATTTACCCAAATGTTTACAAACAAGACCACACTAAAGCTACCAGCACAACTATGTTTGTTGCAGCATTATTTACCATAGCTAAGATATGGAACCAACCCAGATCCCCTCAGTAGATGAATGGATCAAGAAATGTGGTATATATACACAATGGAATTCTATGCCTCCATCAGAAAGAATGACATTGCAACATTTGTGAGGAAATGGAAAGACTTGGAAAAAATTAGATTAAGTGAAATAAGCCAAGCCCAAAGAAACATAGGTCCCATGGTTTCCCTTATTTGCAATATCTAGTATATGTATGAGTCAAGCAGAAAAGGTCAGATAAGGTGATATTAGGAAAATGAACCCTAAGATATGTATTTAAATGTTTTTTTCTTTACTGCATTTGTTTCTAACGCATTTATAAGATTATTTCTTTGTTGCTTTGTATGTCCCTCCCCCACAGTATAAAACCCCTGCTTTCACTGTATTTGATGTCGGTATAATTTGTGGAGGGGAAGGGAAAAAACAAGTTGTTTAAATAAGGATACAGGTGGACCCGTTACAACAATGATAAGTACAAGTTGTCATGTCGAAAACGAACTTTACAACTTTGGTGGGGGGGGGAGGATTGGGTGGGGGGTCGGGAGGAGGCTGGGAAGGGATATGAAGGGTAAACCAAGGAGGAGGCTCCAATGCTTGATAAGAACTGTACTCATTATCTTGCCCATGTAATTGTAACCCCTCTGTACAGTATGTTCACAATAAAAAAGAAAAAAAAAAAGAATCTC